ATTTCTATAAGAGGAGTCATTTTAAAAATAAATTAGAATTGTAATAACTGCTTTGTTTTAAAATAAATAATCGTAACTGTATCATACGGAATTTATTTCAAACTTACGACATTAATTTTATTTTCATCATCAAAAACTGCTAGCGCTAGCGACTTCCTCTTAGCTTTTTAAAAGACACAGGGATTGCTTTAACCTTTTAAGAAGTAAGTCATATAGGATGTAGTCACATTGTATTATATATTAGCATTGCCCGCGGCTCCGCCCGCGTTCAAATGACCAAAAACCAAATTCTTAGGTTTTACATATTAGTATACTCTTACTTTGCAGTTTTTGTATTTTTTCTCAGAAATGAGATATTTTCCCGCGATAAAAAGTATCTTATATGTTGACCCGAATAACCAGCTATCACCATACCAAATTTTATCAAAATCCCTCCAGTGGTTTTTCTGTGACGCGGTAACAGACAGACAGACAGACAGGCATACAGACAAAAATTCTAAAAACTATAGATTCGGCCTCTGTATCGATAATAATATCTATTTCAATAAGATTTTCCAAAAAATATTTAATGTACAGATTCGGCTTAGTTACAATTTTTTTATATTTTAGGTTAGTTAGGTTAGGTTTTGTTAAAATAAATATTAGGTAGGTTAGGTTTTACTAAACTAAATATTTTATAATATACTGTAAACTATGCTATATTCTAACAAATCCTTTTCAGAAATAAGGCTTTGTTAATGCCTATTTGAATACAATTTTACGTAATTTTGGACTTAGGGAGAACGTATACCCGGCATCGCCCGGATCCAATTTACCTTATTCCGGGATTGCTTCACGGTAAATCGAGTTACAAACGGCAGGTGAGTTATCGAACCCGTTGTAAATAGATGGCATTTTGAATAAGTTTTATATAATTTATAGACGTATTAGATAGGAGACTCATGATTTTGTCATTTCCATGTTATTATTTTACAAAATTGTGTTAGATAATAAATTTTATTTTATTGACATTTTCTTCATAGAATATGGCGATCTGACTTATGAAGCATCCTTTTTTAATTACAGCGTTCTCGTCGACGTCGAGAAAAAAGCCCTTTTATTTTAATGGGATTATAAACAGTCAATATCGAGTCTGATTCTATATGTTCTGTTCATTTTAAATATTAGCGAAAGGATTTTTAAAATTCTATAAAGATTCAAACTTACAAACTTTACCTGTTTATAGAAATACATAAGGTATTAAATATCCAAAAATGCAAAAATGTATGTTTGTTTATAGCGTATGTCTCCCTATACCGTGCATCCTGTGGAAAAACCAATGGTGATTTGTACATCAAATAATGAAAGATTTTTGGCGTATTTCCTTCAAAATACAATAGATGAAGATGTTGTGAAGCGACTATTAATTATTATATATATGTAGGTATGTGACATTTATTTCTTTAAATACAACAGGAATAACCAGAAGGTATTGTGTTGTAGCACATTAAAGAAGTACATTGGCGAAGTAAGAACCTTGAAACTTTTTTGAAAGGAAAACGACTAAGTTCCCCTGCTTTTAAATAAACAGCTTAAAATATTTTTTATCTTTATATAATATTCGAAGGTTTTACTAAATTTAAAAATCGAATATTATACAAAGATAAAAAAAGTTAGTATAAAAAACCAGTAATGAAATGATAATAATCCTTTCAATACATAAAATCGTTCGTTCATTAAGAATACGGCTTTGATATGCAAATATAATGCAAATATGAATTGTAACAAGTTTTAACCATTTTCACTGAGTGGCTGACTCTGATGTAATTAGTGGTGTCTGTTTATACTGCTGATATTTAAGCGCGTGTTTGTTTTCTTATCACGCTGGAATGGGAAACTCTACTTCTACCAAAACACCCGGCTAAATTGTTCATTGCTTGTTAGTACGAGGATTGTTTTAGGTCTATTTGAATATATTTTATTATAATATTATGATACTTCGATATAGTTAGTTTAGTTTTTCATATTTTCTCCCTCTTTGTGTTTCACGTTGTCTTGATTGGAAAGGGGGGGGGGGAGGCAGGGGGGGGCTAAGAGATACTGGGAGACGGTGGGTTGCTCGGTGTGCTAGACCAGCTGTAGTGGCCAGCTTTAGGGTTTTGATTTAAGAGTATTTAAAAATAATATCTTGTGTATCATACATATTATATTTTAGCTAAGTTTAAAAGGCAAAGAAGCCAACGGTAGTTAGCAAGAAATAAAAACATTGACATAATTACCTTATGTTATTTCGAAGTTAAATCTACTTTAAATTGTTTTTGTATATATGTTATTGTTATTTATATCTTTTTATCGAAGAAAATGCTGGATGTTAAAATAGACAGCTTTTGGAATATGCCACTAAGTAAAATTATACTAAGATTTTTGGAAGCTGAATCGCTAAAAGAGGTAAAAAAGGGAGTATGTATGAAAATCTGTATTTTTAAAAAATTACATATTTTTTAAATAATTAAGTACTATTAATCTTTCTGATTAAAAATTACTATTTTAATTCAAAGTCTAAAACAGTACCTGTCTAAGGATAAAATAAAGCGAAAGTTGTGAAATTAAAGATTTCATCGTTTTAAAGGTAAGAAACCTGGACATTGTTGCTGAGACCCTATATATGATGTAACAATTGGCGATTAATGATCTACAATTACACATATAAACCTGAAGAGTTTCTTTGTTTAAACGCGCTAATCTCTGTGCCTATTGATCTGATTTAAAAATTCTAAAACTGAAAATAGAAAATGCTTTATAACCAATTTATTGAATAAGGTTAAGGCTATCTTAAACACTACGACGTACCAGAGCGGAGTTCTTCTATAAAATTAAAGACACGGGCGGAGCCACGAAAAAACGCAAGCACGAGTAATATTATAAATACATAAAAACCGACTTCCGGGCACTAAAATGTAAAAAATATCTAAACGGAAGCTTTAATTTAGAATAGATACCTAATCAGATATTTTCGAAGTCGGTGCCAGCCGATGCAAAGCAAAATAATATATTTCGCTACGTAAAACACATATTTACATTTTAGATATTCATATCTTAAAATATTGTCGGCTTGTCGGTTTTTTTAAAGTTTTTATTTGTCCATTTTTAGTGTAGACGAAATAAGTAGGTAATTTGTTAGAAGAAAATTTTTTAATAACATGTTCGATTAAGTAATTTATTTAAAAAAAAAATATTTGTTGATTTTTAAAAAAAACTGCTTAATCGATTTCGATAAAATTTATATCGGATCACCTGGGAAGTATACCCTTAGAAACAAAAAAAAAATTCAAATCGATTCAGGCGTCTTCGAGTAATCGGTGAACATACATAAAAAAAGATTCCGACGAATTGAGAACCTCCTCCTTTTTGGAAGTCGGTTAAAAAGGGATGTGAGGGAAGGAAAGTTATTATTATTAATATAGATAAAAAATACCTCTTATAAATTTTATGCATCTTTCTGCTTTTCTTTTTTCTTACAAGACTGTACTTCATCTACGTATACAAATAAATATAATTGAAGAATCTGTTTGTAATGTCATAATAACAGTTTTTACTAAATATATATTTTTAAGTTTTTTTTTAGGAACAGAATAGTAATTTTTGCCTGTTTGTCTGTTTGTTCCAGCTAATATTCGAAACAAATAGTTCGCTTTTGACGGGAATTTCATTGGCTACTACTACTGGCTGATGTTATAAGGAGTAACTTAGGCAACTTGGCCATTTTTATCTGTTCAAAATGTACCTAGGGGCACTAGGGGGGAAGCACATGTTTATAAGAAATCACTTCAAGTGAAAATGCTACCAACGCTTATTTTGATTTACATTGTTTTTATTGTTTGTAATATACTATGATGTTGTAAAATTATAAATACATACTACCCTTGAGAGAAGTCTCAAATAAGTTTTGAATATTATATATTGTACTATATTTAAGTACGGTGAGCTTAAAACTTTGAGCTTTGAAGACTACCTAAGAGCATACATATGTAAGTAATTAATGTATAGAGTTTGTGAGTCCGTTGTATTTTAAGAGAACTTTAAATATTATTGTGAGGACTTGTCATTTACGAGTATGCCATAAATCTAAGTTTATTTTTGTTATGCTATTTTAAAATCTACAAAGGATGTTAAGCTACAAAGTATAACTTTTTAATTTTATTATACAAGGGGTATTTTTACAATTAATTAGCATATTGATGATTTTACTAACGGACTTCGAAAAAATAAATAAAGAAGGTTAATAATTCGACACGTATGTATGTAATATTATTGGAACTGCAAAATATTCACATATGAGAATCTATTAGGGTTTATAAACAAGTATACAAAATTTTATAGGTGTATGTATGCATTTATGTATGTTTGTATGTATGTATGTTTGTCTGTGTTGTCCACGCATATCTCCGAAACTAGTTATCGGATCGTGATCATTCTTTATTTGCTTACATTATTTCAGCTTAGGGAATAGTGAAGATTTCATCAAAATCGGTTCAGCAGTTTTTATAATATGGACTTAAATGTGTAACTATAACTGAAATAGTTTTTGTAATTATCACTTTTTACCAAAACTACTTCAGTTTAACATATTAAACTGAATAATTGAAATTGTTAAAAAACAATTTCAATTACTAAACTTGACTTAAACAAACAGGGCAAGCTAAAGTCGGTGCCAGCCGATAATGCTTTAAGTCTTAAGATATGAATATCTAATAGGTAAATACCACAAGGTATGAACTCTAATTATTATAGTTAAAATATTATATATCAATTAGTGATATATTGATATATATGGAAATAGGTAGGTATCTGTAGTTAATGAAAACTCTCGTTAAGTTATTTTTTACTTTTTACAATTTTTTTGAAGTTGGTTTAATTTTTTTTTAATTGTTTTTTTTTTATTATATGGTATGTCATTATTGAAATTTATATGGCACGTAAATTATTGAAATACAGTAGTTCTAATTTAAGGTCATTCTTACCTTGTTTAGTTGATCATCGGCTTTTCCAAGTATAACTTCACAGCCCTCACGATGTGCGAAGAGTTTCCTCGCCTGTACTTTCATGTGGAAGGTTTTGTCAATTAGGGGTGTGGCCACCACCCTCTCAAGGGATGAAGCCGCATTGCTGTACCCCACCACATCCGCCTCCACCTCTTGAAGCAGTGTCTCCCAAGTATGGAAGAGAGAAGACGGACAGCTCGCCCTGTTGATAGAAAATATTATTGACGTTATTTTTTGCTATATATTAGTCATGTATTTTATTGTGTATCGAGACTTTACAAAGAATATTAATCTTTCGTACTTTATCTTAATTTACCGATCAATTTCGTTCGTGTCTTCTTTATTTTAAATGACATTTGAACGGTGCTCAACTGGCATGCTTAAAAGCTTTTAACCAAAATGGAAGCATATTAAATTTACTTTGTGGATAGTATATTTTAGGTTTTATATTTTTAATACTACTTGATACTTTAATAAATATTCATGAATATTATTATTGAACATTTATAATAAGAAAACATGCAAGATATATCTGAGTGCGAAATATCTTTCATAAAACATTAGCTCTACCAATTTCTGTTTCTTAAACTACTCTTCTTACAATGTAGAAGGAAACAGTATGAAACTACTCTTTCATTCTGTTTCCTTCTATATAGTTTATATATGGCCTAATGTAAAACAAAACATTTATAGATATACTAGCAGAACCTGCGCTTTGCTCGCGCTAATAGTATAAAAAATCTCTAAAAAGGTAGGTTTTATAGATACTTTCATCCCATATTTCACCTCCTTACGGGATGAATTTCGAAAAATGCTGAAATACGTATTTATTTAATTTTATTGAAGAGCATGAAGACCAAGTTTTAAGTAATTCTGATCATAAATATTTTTTGGGTTGCATTATAACGTATTTTCCCGTGGGAATGAGATAATCTTCCGTGGTAAAAAGTAGCCTATGTCACTCTCCAGCCTTCAAATTATCTCCACACAAAAAATCACGCCAATCCGTCACTCTGTTTTGACGTGAAAGAAGGACAAACAAACAAATAAACACACTTTTACATTTATACGAGTAATATTAATATGGACATAATACATATATAGATAACAACTGACATGAAAAAATTCAAAGTAATAAAAATGAATAGTTATAGAATAACATACGGGTACAACGGGGTTTCTGAATACATATTTAAATATAGCATTTGTCCCTTCATAATTTTCATTAGTTAAATTATTTTGTCCGTAGTATTTAATTATAGTAGTTTGAACTTTAGCCTTTCCACATGATATCCATTAATTTTCATCAGCAATGTAAATATATTAAATAAATGAAGTATGTTATCCTTATAGTCCGCACAATTTATAAAATTGAATATCGACAATGTTGTTAAAAGCTTTCTACCTAATGGATTCAACCGCATAGGATGTAGGTTTTTGAATTCATATATGATGTTTTTTTTTAAATAATCTATACTAATATTACAAATATGAAAGTTTATTAGTATGGATGTATGGATGTTTGTTACTCTTTTACGCTAGAACGGCTGAACGGATCTGGATGAAATTTGGCACAGAGATAGATATAGTCTGGAATAACACATATACAGTTCCCGAGGGATAGATTTGTTTTTGTTTTTCTAGAGGCTCACCGCCGCCGGTGAGCCGCTAGTACTTTAATAAACAAAATATATCATGACTTCTTAGTCGATATTCGAGTAGGTACTAGCATTTGTTACGCGGGATTAAACATCAGTTTGATTTCCGTACCCTTTCACGTACGCTGAGTGATTGTTTGAATAAATGTGTTAGGTATCATTATTTGGAAAGCATAATTTTCATAATAAATATGACAGTACAGTAATATAATGGTAATAGCTTATAATACCTTAATAGAAAAAATAAATTATGTGGACGTTTTTGCCTATAGTTAAACAGGAATTTCTTTATAGTGTATGTATAGTCTGTATATATTTGTGTATTATATTTTGAACAGTGGGTCTTTCAAAATATATAAATATAACTGTGACACACGGACAGACGGACAGAGTTTTTACTTTGAGACGTGGAACCTTATAGAATTGAAAGCTATTTCAATAGATATCTTTATTTTTTTAACTACCAAAGACCCTATGTAAAACTCACCCTCGCTTCTCTCGGGTTAGTCCCTAGGTTGGTTCCCTATACAAACTTTCATCCCCATTTTCACCCCCTAAAGGGATGATTTCCGGGATAAAAAGTATTCTATGTCCTTCTCAGGGTCTTAAACTATCTTCATACCAAATTTCATATAAATCGGTTCCGTAGATCCAAAGATTACCCCCTACAACGTCACAAACTTTACCTCTTTATAATATTAATATAGTATAGAAGTATAGATTTAGGCGTATCCATAGATAAGTAGCTATACTCTATATAATCCTAAAAAGGTTTTTCTTTTTTACCGTTATAAAACCCTATTAAAATAACGACACGTTAAATGTGCCCTTATTTTTGAGATGCTTAATTAAATATTGAGATGATTTTTTATAAAAAATCTGTTATTATTGATATTTGAGAGAAGCTTTTGTTTTACGGCAAATTTATTTGAAACCAAGAGCTTCCATGCTATTAGGGTCAAGTGACCTCTTAAATATTTTTGAAAGCTCAATTCATTGATGTTTTGATCATGTTTTAAATAAGGCCTTTGTATTATTGATAAAATAGTACCCTGCAATCAGTATATTTTTGGACAGCAATAGCATTTTTATATTATGGCATGTAATTATTTACAAGTGATCAAAGTTATGAATCTAGCCAGTAGCCACAGCTACATAAATAAAAACTAGCGACTCACCCCCTTAAGGAATGATTTCTGGGATAAAATTAATTCTATGTCCTTCCCAGGGTTTTAAACTATCTTCTTACCAAATTTCATCTAAATCGGTTCAATAGATCCAGAGATCCCCTACAACATCACAAGCTCAGGATCTCTTAAACTCACAAAATTTACCTCTTTATAATATTAGTATAAATGAATCACCGAAATGTATGTACGCGCATAACTTCAGATCGGCTGCACGAAATTGGATAATTCTTTTTTTGTGTCTGTTATTGTCAGGACAAGCTTTGTATAGAAGAAAATTAAAAGAAAAAAAACCTTTAAAAGTGAGTGAGTGAATGTGACAAAATGACGTTCAATTGTTCAGCCAGCAGTTGGCAACTTCAACCAGACAATACGTCATATCATAATGTCAATTAAATAGAAAAGTTTGTATGGGGAAGCAAGCTAGGGACGAAAGCGAGCGAAACGAGGGTGAGTCGCTAGTTTAGACTATAGAATATTATAAGTTATACTAAGTACCGTAATTTTCTACTTTTGCTGACCTATTTGACTGTACAAATACTGCAAGTAAACATACTGCGCTCAAATGATTTCAAAATTAATTTAGTATGCCAGTGACGGTTACAATTTACATATAGGAATGTATAGTTGGTAATTATACTAGCTAATTAGTGCAGAGTTCTAGTTAGGTAATACGATAGGATATTCTTGATGAAATACAATTATAATAAACAATTTGTTACAAATACTTATAATTTAACTAGCATTGCCCGCTGCTCTGCCCGCGTTCAGATGACCAAAATCGAAACTCTTAGGTTTTACATATTAGTATACTCTTAAATTGCAGTTTTTGTATTTTTTCTCAGAAATGAGATATTTTCCCGCGGTAAAAAGTATCCTATATGTTAATCCGGATAACGAGCTATCGCCATACCAAATTTCATCAAAATCTGTCTAGTGGTTTTCTCGTGATGCGGTAACAGACAGATAGAGGCGGCCGTTTAGAATTGGGGACTTGGCCCCTAGCGGAGTGGGTGGTATTTCTGGATAAGGGACGTGATAGGGAGTCGAAATGTTAAATAAATTTTTTAATACAACAAAAGAGTCAAAAGTTATTGAGACTTAAAGTTATAACATTTCCATACATTATTTTGACATTACTACCATTTAGACACTTGGAGTCAAAACGTCACTTTCAATTGTCAAAATGATCTCCAGATGATTGTCTTTATTTGTACTTTGCGTGAAATTCGAATTTTCTAGTTTTCTAGTCATTTATGGCACTCGCCGGCCGCTACCGCGGCACGCTCGCTTCGCTCGCTCGGCTCGTGCGTTGTGGCAACTGTTCTAACCTAACCTAACCAAGATATGACGAATAATTAATAAATAATCTTAAATGTTCTAACCTAACCTAACCCAGATATGAGGAATAATAAATAAATAATCTTAAATGTTCTAACCTAACCTAACCCAGATATGAGGAATAATAAATAAATAATCTTAAATGTTCTAACCTAACCTAACCAAGATATGACGAATAATTAATAAATAATCTTAAATGTTCTAACCTAACCTAACCCAGATATGAGGAATAATAAATAAATAATCTTAAATGTTCTAACCTAACCTAACCCAGATATGACGAATAATAAATAAATAATTAAAAATATTCACAGATAAAAAAATGATTTTTTTTACTAAATGTACAATTGTAAAACAATATATTTTACATAAATCAAATAAAAAGTTATAAATGTATTTATAAAGTGAAAATAATATTTTTCTTTTTATTTATTTATTTATTAATATTAATATTTTACCAACAGAAAAAGCAAAAATAATCAAATATAATCTGTTGTCATTTAAGCGGTAATATAAAACAAAGTGTCAGTTTTGCTTTTGTCAAAATGTAAGATCATTTTGTTTGTGTTGTGAAATTATTAAAATATTAAATACAATAAAGCATTAATTGTTGTGAAAATGTGTAATGTACATAAAAAAGGATGCGTACTATTCGTTAAAGGTATGTTTATCTGTTGTAATCACTTATTTAGGTAAAGAAATGTATGGAAATGTGTTAGATATGTTATAACTTTAAGTCTCAATAACTTTTTAGTCGTACGTTTCCTCCAAATATTTTTAATATATTTTGACTCTCTGTCACCTCCCCTATCTAAAAATACCACCCACTCCGAATGGTGGTAAAGAAATATATGAAAATGTATGGAAATGTTGTAACTTTAAGTCTCAATAACTTTTGAATCTTTTGTTGTATTAAAAAATTTATTTAACATTTCGACTCCCTATCACGTCCCTTATCCAGAAATACCACCCACTCCGCTAGGGGCCAAGTCCCCAATTCTGAATTTGTGCCCAGA